AAGAGAACAAGCAATCGGAGACGGATGTGGACTGAGAAATGGATGGAAAGGCATTGATGGTGTGACCTCGGACATTACAACTTTTCATGATTAATTAGATGGATATTCTGAAGTCGGCTACGTTCCATTCACCGAAGTTCAGTGCGTCATCTCTCACTTGGCGAAAAGGGGGTGAAAGAGCGAAGTACTATGGCAGGATTACTTCTGGTCTCCGTATGTGCTTTCGCCTTTTCCTTTCTTCTTTCGTTTTCAACTTTTCGCGTTTATGGATCTCCGCTTTTGCAAATGTTATTGCATCGTTTTACATGATCCCTCACACTGTGTTTGCTTTATGAATGAAGTGGTTTAATGTTGAGGGCTCACGGACATTTGTTTTGTGATCGCAACATTGGAAAGACAAAATTTCCCTCTACATGGAAATGCAAGCATAGGGTAAAGGACATGTCTTACTACCAGGATTGCCATATTGCGTATGGCAGGAAGTTTCTGAGCATATATCTAAATGACTTGGAGTACAAACACCTTTTGCCAATCACGCGGAGTCCAGTCCACTCGCTCGCAGTTTTGGTGATAGCAGTATTAATGAACCATTGACTCTTAAGAATGAAGACCTCCTTGTTGGTAGCGAGTGGTATAACAATTCCCTGCTCCCTCCGGACTCGGTCTCTTTCAGTACACTTACCTGTCTGCGTACACAATGACAGTGGACAACACTGTCGAAATATCCAAAACCCTTCCCAGCAAACACGTTGTAGAAGAGAGGAAAACATCCCTGTTCCTCTACAAACTCCTTTTTCTGTCTCTATCACTCGACTTTGTGCTGCCAATGACAACAGGGAAACACAAGGTTGTTCGCAGAGAGGTACTCAGCAGTCACCTGTAGCAGGGGAAGAGTGGCAAATCTCATCCCTTTCTCTGACTGCTCGTTTGCAAAAGCGATTGCTGCCCAACACTTGCTGGACACAATCAGTTTGCCCAGCATTTCAACTATCTTCGACTCTGTGCAGATTATGTAGCGGTGCTTTATATAACCTGAAGCTTTTCTTTTGGCTTGACATGCATATGCCGAAGATTTGGCGTTGCCCACTTCTCTTGGAGACAATACAATTCAAAGTGAGGGTGCTGTGGCACAGTTGTGCACATAACTAGTGTCTGCCATCTGCTGCAAGACCGCACCATTGTCAGGTGAAGATGTTAGCTTCTTGATGTTTTCATCCGGTGTAGCAGATAAGCGAATATCATCGATCACAACATATTGCAATGCGTTTGTCCTCAGGGTTTTATCATTGATCATCTGCAGAAGATGCTCAGGCATTCCCACCACGATCGTCTGTCTTCACCCTAATAGAACGCCTGGTCATTATCGCCATATTTAGGGCAGCTTTCTGGCCAGATGCAGCAATAATGACGGGCGTTCTATTCGGGTGAAGAAGGTAGTTGTGGCAGCTTGGCCCTCATCCATCCCTAAACTGTGGCAGCTCCAGTGTCTTCAAGGGCGGTCATGATGGACAACCCTTCGAGTCTCTTCAGCTGGTCGGTTGTGAATGACCATCACCTCCCTCTCTCTCTCTCTAGATTCCTCTACCCTGCTTTCTCCTCCTAGTACTCTTGTGGGGACCACCACAAGACTGCAGATCTTGTCATGTGGATTTTTGCAATCAATGGGATCAACTGCACCATAATTTTCCCTGAACCAGTCTGAGTGTGAACGATGTACTCCCGCCAACTAAACACAACCAGCAGACCCTGCCACTGAACACCTGTTGGCATCACGAAAACCAACTCATGTACCCTTTTTCAGGCTTTTTGACATTCTTTCTGCCACCTGACACTTGAAAAGTGCACTCAATGTCTCTTCCAGGCACACCACTGCCTTCGCCGTTAGTGGTTGCAGAGAAGCTGAAGTAATGATCAGCACAAGAATGACTGCTGAGGGTTCTGCGCAGTGACTCTCTCAATGATGGACACGATTCTAACGGTGGTTCGGTGTGGCATTCCATGGTTGTACACAGGCCCCATCGGGCCTGATGGTAGGGTTAGGGGTTTTGGCAGGGTTAGTAGGGTCAGTCAGACCGGTACCGTTTCGTCCGCGGCCCAGTTAGGCCTAGGTTAGCGGGCCAGACCCTGGCACGTCGCTGATTTTTGGCGCCAGGCCCTGTTTTGGTTTGGACGCCGGTTCAGTAGGCGCTAGGTTAGGCGCTAGGTTAGGCGCCAGCCGTTACAGTTTTGGCGCCGGACACTGGCTCAGTTTGGCACTAGTCAAGGTAGCCTCCCAGTTGGACCAGCGCTACTTATAGCTGGTCCGCCCCGTAGCAGCATGTAGCTCGAAGGAAGCATCAGTAGGCATTGTTAGTCGACGCGCTGGGCGCCATAAGAGTAATCTACGGCGCTGGGTGCAAGTTAGGAGTGAGAGCGCTGCAGTTGAGCTGCAGGGGGGGGGAGAGAGAGAGAGAGAGTTGAGGCGGAGGTCAGAGGGACTTACTGTACCTGTGATGCCATAGCTCCATCTTCGTCTTCGGCACGTCCTCACCTGCATCAAGGCACCACCTTTTCACAGGTAAGTACCTGGCATACAACGAGAGAGAGGGAGAGAAGATTTCTTCTTCTTCTCATCTTGTACTCCATCGCTCGTCATCCTCCTCTTGCGGAGCTTCTTCTTCTTCTTCTTCGCCTTCTTTGCCTTCGTCTGCTGAGGTATGAGAGAGAGAGAGAGAGAGAGAGAGAGAGAGAGAGAGAGAGAGAGAGAGAGAGAGAGAGAGAGAGAGAGAGAGAGAGAGAGAGAGAGAGAGAGAGAGAGTTGACAATGAGACGTGGTGATTTTCGGGCATTGCCCGATTCAGTGACAGTGTGACTTGACATTGTATGAGCAGCGACATTGGGGGTACATTGGAGAATGTGTTCATCGGGCTAGGCGGCTTATCCTCTCTATCCCTTCCTCCCTTCGTCTCTTGTCCCCCACCTTCGTTTGTGCTTGTATGGGACTCAGCGCACCGTCTATGCTTGCTGCGCTGAGTCCACTCCCACCGCGTGATGATGGTTGCGGTCAGAGTCTGCCATTGTCCATGCTGAGTCAGGTCTTGGTATTTCAGTCTTCCGCTGTGCTATGTTTGTATTGTCTCTGAGAGGTCAGTTCTTGGTTCTGATCGATGCCGATTAGGGATGCGATAGTCGGCCAGGACAAATTTATTTATTGTACTTGGAGTTGGGGCAGACAGCTCCTGTGGATCAGCTGCGACAATGTGGGACAAATAATCTGCGGTCATGGAGCAGTGAGCTTGCCGCATTCTCCAAACCACGGTGCTGTTTGGGTAAGAGCCAGCAGGCAGTTGTGGAGTTGGGGCTTTGAAAATCCTGCCGCTGCCTTGCCCGCAGGCGGAGGAGCCTACTGTTGATCAATGTGGCGGCTGACATGTTGCCCATCTATAGGCATGTAGTAGATAGCTGATGTGTGCTTGGGCCTGGTATAGGCGCTTCAATACACAATCGATGGCTTCTTAGGCCCCTTTATAGGCACTGCAAGGGACACTCGAAGCCTTGTTTGGCCTTGTATATGTGCTATGATTTAGTGTGTGGTGGCAGTAAGGTTTCAAATACCTTGCTGATGAACGGGACGGAAGCAGCAGTCGCGGACAGTATTCTCCAATCTTTTTGTTTGGTCTAATGCTCCAGGGATGCAATAGACAATTAATGACTTGTTGGCCCCTGTACAGGGACTGCAATAGACACTTGATGCCTTGCTTGGGCTTTTATAGTTACTGGAATAAACAATGTGCCGGATGACAGGTTCCCGAGATGAACAGAAAGGGAAACAGCAGTTGCAGACAGGATTTGGTGCTAGAAAGTTGGGAAGGGGAAAATGCCTGTGAAGCAACAAGCATATAAGATTTGGAATGATTTGGTATGTGACTTAATATCTGGCCATCATGTGATATTCAACAGGATCCTTTTTTTTTTGTTGTTGTTGTTTTTGTTTGTTGAAAAAGTGACATCAAGTGTCATCAACGTACTTGCCCCCTTTTTTTCTCTGTTTTTTTTTGGTTTAATCATATAAAATACAGCTGTCTTCTCCTCATATGGGGGACAAGCTGTATTTGCTAGCCTATTTTTCTATTTTCTTCTCTCAAATCTTGTAACTACCTCATCCTTAAACCTACCCTTGTCTAGTAGTCTGACCAGAATCCCTACCTTAATCCAGCAACGGGAAGCAGGCTATTCCACGGGTTCAGGACGAGATTGGAGCTAGGAACTAGGGCTACGGTCTAAGACTATCTTAAATTTACTTTACCAGAACTGAGCTATCCTAAGGTTATGGGTCTACTTCTACCTATCTGTGCTCTCCGTGGGGAGCAGTTTCCAAGCTCCTAACACCTGGCGCGGGCTGGTACAGACAACCAGGCAGGTGGCCCAAGCCAACAATCTACGCTAGTGAGCCCGAAGCATTTTGCAGGAGGCTGTGGGGATCGAAAGGACGATGGTGGGTATCGAGCCGACGACCTCCTGAGTGCCGTTTATGTGCTCAACCAACTGAGCTGGCCCGCTTCCCTATTGATTGGTAGCGAAAGGTGAAAAATGAAAGGAAAATGCGAAGTCTCAGTAGTTACTGAAGCCCATGAAAGCCAGTGTAAGATCCATAGTAAATAATCCAATGGATAAAGTTGTGTAGCATCGTGTTCGTGTTCAGTGAAGCGAACCTGAACGTTCGCGACCGAACGCGAACGAGCGCCAAAACCCTCGAGTTTCTGAGAAAAATCTGCAAACAATATATGTTATGTAGAATAATAATACAAACAACTTTTGCCTGGGAGGTATGCTCAAATTTGTCACCGAACTCGAGTTAAAAATAAAAAACCTAAAAAAATATAAGATTTTTTCTTTTTTTTTTCTTTTTTTGTCATTAAAAAAAAAATGTTCGACCGAACACGTTTGGGAGACGTCCGGCCGAACACCCGAACATGTTCGGATGTTCGGAAAAGCTCCGAACACCTATAGATATTTCGACGACCTGCACTCCATCAATAACCCTCTCATACAAAAATTCCTCAACCCTGAAATCACCTCACCCAGAAGCACATATTCCCATCGAATAGATAAAAGATTGTTTCCTGGGGACGACTGCTTCTCAGCATCTTGCTCTTCAGAAAAGGAAGACAAGTTTATGTGAAGAGGGAAGACCCAACCATGGGGGTGGTGGGGGGTGATGCAATTGTGGTGGCGATGGCAGCGACGGAAGTGGCAGCAGTGGATGAGGCGACATCGGCTGAAGTGGCAGCAGCGGATGAGGCGACAACGGCTGAAGTGGCAGCGACAGAAGCGATCCTAACTATGTGGGCTATCCAATAATACGATAAGGGTAATAGTACTAGTTAGTGATAATAGGAATAATAGCTGTTGGGGGGGGGAAGGGGTTACGGGGGGGGGGGATATCAG